TCTTGAATAAAAGTATAGATAGCATGCTTATCAAATCCACATATGACACAGATCTGGGAGAAATAACTGACATGGTAGGTATATAACAAAAGAAATGTTCAAAAAGATCTCAGTAAGATAGCTTATTGGGTCCAATTAAGTAAGATAAATTTGAATATGGATAAAAATGGAGTCTTATACTTGGGTTCAAAAAACCATTCAAAAATTGGGTGATGGGAATGGATTAAGTGTAATTCAATCAAAAAAGACCACAATTTTTAATGAACTGAAAGCTTAATGTGAGTCAATAGTGTACTATGGCAGCCCAGACAGCCAACGGGATCTTTGGGCACATTGAGAGGCACACCTTTCCAGGTATAAAGAACTGATGGTACTCCTGTATTGTGCCCTGGTCAAAACATAACTGGATATTGGGTTTGGTTCTGGACATCAAATTTTAGGAGGATGTGGATAAGGTAAAGCATGACCAGAGTAGGGAATCCACAATGATGAAAGGCCTCAACTTTATGCTGTATAAAGATTGGTTGAATAAAATGGGAGTATTTAGTCTTTAGTCTGTAGTCCCCCTTGATGGAAGGGACGCTGTCTTCAAGTACTTGAACATTTGTCATTAGAAAGAAGATTGAACTCATTCTTCTTGGGTCCAGAGGGCAAAGGTAGGAACAATGGATAGAAGTAGCAAAAAGGCTGATTTGGGATGTAAGGAAAAGCTTACTAACAGAACTATTCAAAAGGGCACTGGATTTCTTTGCAAAGTAAGGTGTTCCCTTTTACTATATATCTTTAGGCAAAAGCTAGATGACCATTTGTCACACATGCCATTAAAAGGAGTTTGTTTTAGGGACCATTTGGACTAGTTGGTCTCTCAGTTCTTCCATCTCTGAGGTTCTATAAGTTCCCAAATAGTAGGTAAAAGGAGTATATATGAAAGAATTCCTCCCTGTCTAATGCTTAAATGCACATGTTCATAGCATTATTGATTTCACACTAAAAGGGACTTGTAACCAGATGAGGTTAAGTGATTCACCCAAAGTCACAAACATGGCAAGTGGTACAGTCAAGATTTGAATCCAAGTCATCTGATTTCCAATCCATCACCCTTTCCACTACACCCTGCTGCATCATATTCTCACTGGTTGTGCATCTTATAAAGTTGGTGCAAGGTTTTTTTTTTTTGTTTTTTTTTTGTTTTTTTTTTTTGTTTGTTTGTTTTTTTAGGCAATTGGGGTTAAGTGACTTGCCCAGGGTTACACAGTTAGTAGGTGTGTCAAGTGTTTGGTCTGAGGCCGGATTTGAACTCAGGTCCTCCTGACTTCAGGGCCAGTGCCCTATCCACTGCGCCACCTAGCTGCCCCAAGTTTTGTATTTTTTTAGATCCCTTCCCAGTCACATTAAAAGTACAAACAGCCATGTTTTCACATATTATGAATATTCCCTTTGTTTCCAAGGGTATCTGTAACTAAATCCTACTACCTGCTAAGCAGAGGCAAAAACTGACCTTTATCAAAGGATTTTCCATTGCATATTTTTCCCTCCCTCCTACTCAGGGTCAGGGTGAGAAGCAAAGAATCATGATGTTTTCACTTTTGAGAGGTTGGTGGTTTCTCTTAGTTGGGAGCAAGAGAGATACAGAGTCAATCTGAAAAAATTTATGACACTTTTATGAAACTAAAAGCATATAAATCTGTCTTATGTAATTAGTATGCACTTTAAAGAACCAAACTCATGAGGAGTGTAGAGCAAATTAACAAAGAAGATGCATTTCAATGACATTTTATTGTCAAGAAATTCATTACCAGAGGTATAAAAAGTAATAGCTCACATTCCTATATTTGGAGGTTTATTAAGTGATTTCTTCACAACCCAACGAAATAGGTTGTACAAATATTGTTATTCCTATAATTCAGGTGACATAGCTATTGTTCTGAAATATGAAGTGGCTTATTCAAGATTCCACAGTGTAAGTCTAAGTCAGGTATCCTGATTATAAGACCAATGCTCTAATATTTTAATATTTCCAAATTTCATCCCTAAAAACAACCAATTAATGGAATAATTATTCCCTCTCCCCCCCCCATTTTGAACAGGAAGCATTCTTTTGTATGTATTGTTCTCTCTGGCGCACTTTCCTGGTTCGTCCCCTCCTTTCCTTCAAGTGAAAAGTAACTTGTGTCGTGTATACCCTCATGGTCCTACCTTGCCTGAGATAGTTTTACATGTAATGATGCAGAACATGCCTATAAACTATGTTCCCTCGCTCTCTGTCCCAAGTAACCAAGATGCATGTATGTGACATAGTAGAAATACCACTGGATGTGGCATCAGAGGACCTAGGTCCAAATTTTAACTCTGTTATCTAATATTTATTTATTATTGAGAAAGTTATTTCTCCTAAGGTCTCAGATTCTTCTGTGAAGTGAGAGAATAGGTGAACTCTAAGATACCTTCTAGCTCTAAAAACTATTAATTCATAAATATAACCCTCATTTCAGCTTTGTCTAGAATCTGGCCTACCCTCAAAAGACCTGGATCTAAGATATTATTTTTGTCTCCACTTCTTGAGCTTCCACTCCCATTTACAAAACACCAAATAGACTACAAGTTCCCCTACCTTATTTTTACCCAGTTCAACTTTGGTTAAAGGTGGTATAACCCAAAATTTGCTAAAAAAGGAATCACTTTATTATTACATATATATTTCAACATTGCTAGTGTAAGAACAGACTACCACTGACCCAGTAGGTCTACTGTTTTACGATCATCCTGATTTTATTAGTGCATACTTTCTCTACCAATATTCACACATACCTTATATGTCTGAGTGGGAAACTTTCATCAGTTGCTACATTTGAAACAATTCATCATCTGGTGGCCCATTTCTCTGGTAATGAGCCTCCCCTGCTTATTTAGTATGGCCCTTGAACAAAAGATATACGATTTATTGCCCTTAAATGGCTTAACCATCAGGGTTCTACATCAACAGAGCAAAGAGTCCAGATTGTGATGAACATCACCCCACCCCCAAAGTGGAGCCCATTCTGGATAAATAACATGCCAGCTTTCCATCCATTTGTTTACATTAGCATCGTTTGCCAAATCGACATGCTTCTTGCTATTTGGCAAAAACCAAATGCGAAAACATGGTTTACTCAGAGAGAGGACTCATTTTTAGAGAGTTTTGGTTAGAAGATGTAGTCAATTTCTTATATTGTTTCTTTAAAAATATATATAATTTTTATTTTATTTCCCAATTGTGTGTATTTACCTTTGCCCCTAATTCTGCAAGACAACAAAAAGAATAACTGAAAAATGATTTTAAAATGTCTTCCAGATATTAAATGTTATAAAAATGAGGCAGCATTACATAGTAGACAGAGGACTGGTCTTATAGTCAGGAAGATCTTTGTTCAAATCCTGTCAGTGATAGGTACTGTCTGTGTAACTCTGGACAAGTCACTTGACCTGTCAATGTTCCAAACAACTTTCTGAGACTCTAAGTTGCAGAAAAGATGCTCACCCGCATTAGTTCAGGCTCATCTGAGTGTTCCCTACAAAAATGGAATCACATAAATCCCTTACCTAAAAATAAGAAACAGTATAGTATAGTGGATAGAAGGTTGGCCATCAAGACAAAAAACAGCTTCAAGGTGATAGCACATATTAACTATGTGGCTATAGGTAAGTCACTTAACCATTCAATCATCTCAATACTCTAAGTGGGTGGTGGTGTTAATCTTTTAAATATTGCCTTGATTTTAAAGACTCACAAATTCAAATACATGAAGTTTTGACATGCTGATGTACATTAAGATAGGATGTTTTCATACTTGGAGTTCCTTACATGGATGAAATCACAAACCTGAAGCAAAAAACTAGATAAAATTAATTTTTTAAAAAATCAATCAACTACTAGTATTTCATTAACAAAATACTTTAATTCTTTAATCCCTTTACTTTTTAGTAAACTTTTTGAAATTTATGTAGTTTTCTGCCATGTACTAAAATAATGTTTCCACAATAATGTCTTCTTCAGCTTTCTTCAGATTTAAATTCCCATTATCTAAAGTTCAGTTAAGAAATTAATAGAAGATTACCACAAGATGGCAGTTTTGAACCTCACTGTGACTATCCAGTGACCAAAAGAAATGAATATTAAACATCTTTCACTCTTTTCTTTTTTTGTAGAGCAGAAGACCACAATTTTTATTTTGTGGAAAAGCAGGTTGTGAGAGTTTTAGATTTCTAAGACACTCACAAGGTGCCTCTACTTTGAACAA